GGCCACGGTCTCCGAAAGAATGGTAATGCGGAGTAGCGCGCGTACTCTCTGTGCTCCGTGTTCTTTCTGTGCTTTCTGCATCCTTTCTGCGAATCATAAGCCGGCCCGATGGTGGAGGAGAACCGCAGTGGGTGAAAAAAGGGGGTCGATGCGCAAGAGGGCGACCGAGAGTAAGCCAGAGAATGGAAGCCGGAGCATTAGGAACCCCAGCCTCTTAAATGCGCGCGACCTCGCCTCCTCTCGAGTCCCGCTCTCCCGTTTTCGCCCTGTGTCGTTCCTCGATAACCGCACGAAAAAAGAATCCCGCGACTCGGTTAATAATATTCGTGCGCTTTTTTGAGACGTCAACCGTTCGAACTCATGATAGTTTTCGCCCCCGCGAAGTGTGTCCGCGACATCGAGATGTCGTACAACCTCCAACGTGCACGCCATTAGATCCCCGCCGGATAATTCCTCACATTTGCTCCTCGTTACAAGGTCAATTGTCATCTTCGCGTTAGTCCTTTACGACGACAAAGCGCCGCCGGAGTTCGAGACCAGTCGTCGTCTCGTCACACGAGACTGCATTTCCACGCGTTTCCCTCTGAGAACCGCCGTGTGTACTTCCAATTATCACGGAGGGACACCCGAACAAGGACTATTTCGCACAGGTGAGTCCGTGAGCCCCCGAGTAAGATGTAAAGGAACGCAGGGGATAGATGAGGGGTGCGGAGCAGGTGGGTTACGGTGGGGCGGGGTTATGCGAGACATTCAAACTCTATCCGCGGCAGAGACTGAGGTGGCATTTAAGGATTACCGGAGTTTAGCATAATATCAGCAGGTAAGAGGAAGGGAAGACAACAGGCGGGCGTCGTCACGAGGCGATGAGAGAGCGACGGACGACGGGGGAGACTGTGGGGGCCCGGAGGAATGCGTCCTGGGAAGGGGTGCAGGTATTATTCATGGATTACCTCACTTGTCTCGGCTACAATCCTCCCAAAGCCTCCATTAGAATAATTGCTTCTTCATCTTCGCGCTTACGCGGTTGCCGCCACCCGTCCCGCGATCTTGTCTCACTGAGAAACGGAATGAGAGAGAGAGAGAGGGGAGAGAGGAGCGAGAACGAAAGAGAGACAATGTGTGTGTGTGTGTTTGTGTGTGTGTGTGAGACATTCACCGACTTCGGTATCCTACCTCATTCATCGTCTGCCGGTGGCAATGCGCGGCGTGTCGCCACGCTACCGTACGCGTGCACCGCTTTTTCTCTCGTTTTGTCCGTTGCGAACCTGATTCGCTACGGAAAGGAGAGACAACGTGTCCCGCTTCGGAAAAAATGTGTCTTCTCATCGCGAAGAGACTTCCGAACTAGACTTCGGATTAGTCGTGTTTCGTCGACATGATGTTCGCGACGCGTTTTGCATTCAAGTGCGTTCGCATTCATGATATCGCGTGGGCAGTTTTATCAATCGTAAAGTAACGTGGATGGTATATATATAAATTCGCGCACGGCGATGTAACAACAATGTGCGCATTTCTCCATTGATCCGCCGCGCATTTCCTCGAACGTCAAAAGTATCAAACTGCCATTTAGACGTTCGCGCATTTCGCGACGCGAACCGCCATACACCAGTCTGCACGCAAATTCCGACTGACGCTATAAAGAAGAAACTGCAATATACATCCCGCTACGGAAGCACGAGTGGCAGACCATTAGCCCGGGAGGAAGTCTTTTAAGAACAAGGAAGAGAGCGCAGAGCGATCCCTTGAAATCCCAGAAGTGCGAGCGAGAAGTTGCCTCGGGAGAGGGCAGACCGCTCCACTCTCGAGAACTTCGCGTTCATCGTCGAATAATCGCGTCGACTATTCACCACGCCGCCTTTTAACCCTTTCGACAACGAGTGACGACTATAGTTCGACGTGCGTCCAAATGTTCCGCCGACTATAGTCGCGCCGGACAGGAATGATCAATTGAACTCCGCTGCTCTCCGCGGGAATAATGCAACGAGACTTTTTTTTATTTCTCTTTCGCAATTTCTAGAAATCAAATTTAAAACCTCAAGTTCAGTCCTCAAATTGTCGACCGTTTTTATTCCGACGTGAATAAAGCAAAAGTGCATTCTCAACGGAGATATTAATTAAGTTTCGTTTGCGCTTCAAAGCGAAATGCTAAATATAAATCCGAGGAAGACCCACAGGCTTCAGGCGATAATCATGCGTATGAAAAATTTTCCTTATTCTTTCCTCCTTTCCTTGAGATATGTGCGTATCTACTTAGAGTATATTGGATGATCCAGACTAACAGAGACAAACTTCGTGAGAGCGTAGAATTGAGGTGAACGAAAAAATCTTCTAGCTCTAATAGCCTAATCTGTAGATATATGAGTATATATGACAGCTGTTGTATCCAGCGATAGACATCAATATATCGAACCTTGAACCTCGAACCTTTAACTTGTCGCTAGGTACAGCAGTTGTCATATGTCACTTGTAGATTAGGCCACTCTGGGCATCAATCACATAACTTCTTCCTAAGGCGAAAACGTGAGAAGTGAAAATTCAAAATGTATTCAGATTAGAAAATTTACTCTTTTCCACGGGTTCACACTAGAGGAGGAAATTCACGACCCTCTAGGGATTGATCATGAATTCTCTTCTCTCGCGTGAACTCGTGCAAAGAGTAAATTTTCTAGTTTGAAAATACTTGGAATTTTCACTTTTCGCGTTTCCGTGAAAGAAAAGTTACGTGATCGAGAGCCTGAACAAAAAAATCCTTTACCATTTTACAAATAACATGTAAGTTTTTGAGCTATCAATTAAAGTAACCTTTATGCATGGCCATTTCAATAATTAATAATTCAAAATTTTACATGACTGCAAAATAGTAGAGCACTTTTCTGTTCACCTCATTCCGTCCTACGCCCTCGCGAAGTTTGTTGGTCTAGGACACTATATATTTCTAAAACGATATTGAGAGAAAAATATTTAATATTTATAATTATAATAATAAAAATAGTTGAAAAATTAATAAAAGGGAATTATAGTCATAATAAAAGAATTATAATCAGGATAACCATTTTTCCATTTTAAACGCCGCTATAATGTCAATAATCTTATATGCATATTGCTACTATTATTTTCCTCGTCAAAACTATAAAAAGAGTATATATAGTTGAGGCCGAAAATAATTATAATTTTCAACGAAGGTATGCGGGAGAAACGTTACTCTACGCCGCAGTAGTAACAGAAATAGCTCGCAATAAAGCTCAACCGCAAGACATCAGCGAAACTGTCTGAACCGCAAGAAGAAACGATTAATGCCCGTTAAATTAATTATACCGTCGCGTGAGGTAAGGTACTCGCAACGCGAGTAGAGACGTATGCGAAAGGGTAACGTGCTCGGAGGGATCGACGATCGGCGCGAGAGAGGCGAGGGTGAGTTCAAGGAATCGTCGCACGTAGCTGGTCGCGAGATGAAACGGTAACGAGAACGGCTCGCGGTAACTAAATATTCGCGGGGGCACGTCGAGACTACGTTGGTGGCGAGAAAGAAGAAAAAAAAAAAGGAACGAGAGAGAGAGAGAGAGGACTCCCCGGAAACGCGAAACAGACCGTCCCATCCACCCCCGCATTCACCACCCTCGGACCGCCACTGGCGCCGCCGTGGAGGATCGTCGCCGCTACTGGAGACAATTTATTCTCACGGTCTCGCGCGCAATTTGCTCCCGCCGCTCCTCCGCCACCGTCGAGGCTTGTAACGAGGGTAACGAGAATCATCGAATGAAAACCCACCGTCGCCCTGAAATCGCATTTCACACGACATTTGCCGAGCGGCATCATACCTAGCGTGCCGATTTCCAGCCCCGCGCCGGGCCGAGGGATGAAATTTATTCTTTGCGTACGCGCAAGATCCCGATCCGCGTGAGCGCCATACCGCTATCACGTTCTTTCCCACGGTAAACAACCATGCTCCGAGGGCTCTCGGTTGGGGTGAGACGGTAAAACGAATTGCGTACATATATTTTCTTATAATTAATAAAAATCACACCCCGCGGCAAAGCCGCTTAGCATCGCGCCAACCTGCGACGCGCGAGAGGCGACGATTAATGCCCCTTAAATTGATTATACCGTCCGCGTTTCGTGTAATTGATAAAAATAGCAGGGAAAAGAGGACGTTCGATACGGACGATTTCGACGCTCGCAGCGATGCTGCTTAGTCTTTAGTACCTTCTAAAATCGGCGTGGACTTTTTAAAAAAGTCACTACGAGCAGCCTCGCCGCCGGTGCGGCACACTGGTCGCATTATTTCGTCGTTAAATGCATGAAAGCTTTTTTTCGAGTGCTTAATACAAGCTCGCGGTTAATAGCGGCGCGTTATTATGCTCGCGGGGACACAAGTGTGTCGCAGTTTAAAGTGTCTCTACTTCGGTGCCGCACAAAAAACGCGCCGGCCTAACCTTTTATGGATTCTTTGTGGCGGCGCGATTATACCGGGTGTCTCTGATCCACCGCATTTCCGGCTGCTAGTGTATGCTTGCCCCGCGCTTTCGCAAGAATTGTGTTGTCATCTCATCGGTTTTTCATATCAACGAAACGTCGGCTTGTATTTTAATTTCGGTTACATTGTAATCTTGGATTCTATCAAATTAACATTCGTAGAAATCTCAATGCTATATGTATTGTTGATGTGCGTCGAGTTTTTTTTATATGAATTTCTCAATTATCTGCAAGTGATACGCGTTCCATCGAAAAATACGTTCGACCGGAGACACCGTGTATATCAGACGCCTCTGCGACCACGTACATACATGTTCGTATTCATGCATCCTATCATCCTATCTTTGTCTCCCGAAGAATTGTGAAAAAAGATATACAACGTTCAACAGAGATACGCAAGATACATTGCATATATTCACGCGATTTACCCGCAACGATATCCGACCATAACCTATCGTAACTTTCGCATCAATATTTGTATAGGACGACTTACTTCGCCATATAAGCATCCTCATTGTCAAGCAATTTAAAGAATCACACAGTAAGATATCACTCACTGACCGATGCCCGGCTGAATAATGTCCGAAAGATCGTGTCATCCTTATCACCTGAATTTCCTTTCCGAGAATGCACCGCGCACCGCTACACTGAAACAATGGTTAGGTTTCCTTGGGAGGCAAATTTTTGAAAAAATCTTGCGAAAACTAACATTCCTACGGAAGGATGCCAAGCCTTAGTCTAGAGTAGCCATTATCGCAGGAAGAAAAAGAACATTACCTGGTTAACGAAAGAATCGTCCAGTTAACGACAAGAACAGCTCTCAGGGAAAGTCTAATAGGCAAAACAAAAACATCGCAAGGTTCTCGTTACTCAGCACAACGAATTAATTGCTACAATCGCGACTAATAAACGAAATTACCTGAAAATTACGCACCTCGAAACACTCCTGCCATATCCGTTAAAGTGATCCACAGAAAAGAAATGACGGTTATTTTGAACGAACTTTTTCGATTCGTGTCTACGAGCGCCATCTGTAGGCGCGCTACTTCTATTACCGCGGGTCTGATTGGTAATATGAAGATATATCGGACACGCAGATACTATTTTACCGACGTGAAATGTACGAAATAATGTGCGTGTATACAGTAATCGTGCTTCTGTTAGTTATCTCTTAATCTCGGAAAAATGGGAAGTTGATGGGAAGTCTAAATATCATATTAATTCGTATCTCGTTGCCACATACAGAAACTAGCACGTTTCGATTCTTTGTGCGTGTCAATAAAATGATTTCCGCATACCGTATATCGTAACCCGTGAAATGAACCGTCGTCTGCCACAACATAACCTCATCGGGTCGTAAAAGAACACGTAAACAATCGGAAGAAGTATAATTTATTAGCCGGCTGCCTCAGCACAGGTACGTGATTGACACTTGCGATAAATTATATGAACATATAAATGATAATCTCTGACTTTCACTCGCTGATGTCGGGTCATCACGCTCTGATAAATTAGGATATTTTTTCACGTGTTCCTTTGTCTGTGAGAATATAGCTTTGCTACAGTAGAATAAATATATTTTGTATATTATTTATATCCAAACGTTCCTTGGAAGGGAAAGCTGTTATTTTTGTACAGGACGTTTGTTACAGAACATTCCAGAATGTCTGAGAACAACGAGACAACAGCGGAGAAGGAAGTGGTCACTGAGGACCCAAATGCTGTCTCAGAAGAGGACAAGCAGTATTTATCAGAATATGTACGGGAGACGGAGCAAAGACTGACGACAAAGGAAGAGATTCGTGCTTCTAATATGAATCCTTCGAGACCATCCGACGCATCGTTCAGTAAACTTGACTCAAGCCTCAAGAGGAACACTACGTTTGTGAAGAAATTAAAGAATTTCAGTGTAACACAACTCGATACAGTCCTGAAGGACATGGCGAACTTAAACCTGACTAAGTACGTAAGCGAGGTTGCCACAGCTCTGGTGGATGCCAAAATAAAAATGACCGACGTCGCACCTGCCATCAGGGTATGCAGCTTCCTCCATCAGACATATGCCGAGTTCTCCACTCATTTCTTCGAGAATTGGCAGAGAATATTGTCATTGAAGATCGGCGACAAGATCGCGAATCCCAGCAAGCTGAGAGTGGACCTTCGATTCTACGCGGAACTGGTGAACGCAGGAATCTTCACGCACAAGCAAGGTCTGCCGCTACTGGGCTCCGTGTTGACAGTCTTGATTAACATGGACAAGGAGGAACACAATAACGCCAGTATAATATTGAGCTTCTGCCGGCACTGTGGCGAAGATTACGCCGGCTTGGTACCTAAGAAAGTGCGAGAGTTGTCCGAGAAGTTGAGTGTTACGATCCCCAAGAGCAAACTGTTGTCGCCCGACAAACAGCAAAACGTCAAGCTGTTGTTGCGGGACTATTATAATTCTTTGTGCAAGCACTTGTTGAAGGAGCATAAAGATCTGCAGGCGTTCGAGAAACAAAATCGCAAGATCCTACAGACCAGAGGCGAATTGAGCTCTGAAAGGAAAGAGAAGCTGGAAGCCTTGCAGGTGTCTTACGAACGTTTACTAAACAGCGTGCAAAGTTTCTCAGATACTCTGGACGAGCCAATGCCCGAGCTTCCGGTAGACAGTGAGATGAAAGCTGAAACGGAGGAAACGCTGAAGATGATCAACGAGGGAGAGGATAGTAACATTCTTGAGGACATGTGGGGTGACGAAGAGACGAGACGCTTCTACGAGGTTTTGCCGGATCTAACGGTATTCTTACCAGGTTCGTACTTGAAAGAGTCCCCGAAAGCGGACGCACCGATAACGGAGGACGCCTTGGACGACGAGATAGTGTTCGACGAGTTGGAGGAGGCCGAGAAAGTGGAGGAGCCGGAGACGGAGGTGGAGGAACCGCAGGTATCGAATATCAGCAACAAGATAATGTTGGATGCTTTCTTGACACATCTACCGAATTGTGTGAATCGCGAGATGATCGACAATGCCGCGGTGCACTTCCTGATGAATCTCAACACGAAACACAACAAGAAGAAGCTGGTGAAGGCTCTCTTCGGTGTTTCCAGAATCCGTCTGGACCTTCTGCCCTTTTACTCTCGTTTAGCAGCCATCCTCTACGCCGTGATGCCTGACGTCGGGAACGATCTGTGCCAGATGCTCAAGCAGGACTTCAAATATCACGTGCGCAAGAAGGATCAGATCAACATCGAGTCGAAGATCAAAGTGGTCCGTTACATCGGCGAACTTGTGAAGTTCAAGCTCTACTCCAAGTTGGAGGCGCTCTACTGTCTGAAAGTTTTGCTGCACGACTTCACGCACCATCATATCGAGATGGCCTGCAATCTGCTGGAGATCTGCGGCAGATACCTTTTCTGCTCGCCGGATTCTCATCAGAGAACCAAGGTCTATTTGGAACAGATGATGCGCAAGAAGGCAGTTACTGCTCTTGACTCTCGCTACGTCACGATAATAGAGAACGCGTACTACTTCGTGAACCCACCCGAGTCCACCGGCGGCATCTCGAGAAAGGACAGACCGCCCGTGCACGAATTCATAAGGAAACTATTGTACCAAGACCTTTCGAAGACGAACACCGATAAGGTACTCAGGTGGATGCGCAAACTTGATTGGGAGGACGAGAGCGTGTCGTCCTACGCCATTAAGTGTCTCACTGCCGCTTACAACGTCAAGTATCTCAACATTCGTTGCGTGGGGAGTCTTTTGGCCGGTCTGGTGGGTCACTATGAGACCATAGGGCCTCACGTGGTCGACGGGGTGCTCGAGGATATTCGGCTGTGCATGGAAGTGAACCTGCCCAAGTTCAACCAACGACGCATCGCCATGGTGAAGTACCTGGGGGAATTGTACAATTACCGGATGGTGGAGAGTGGCGATATTTTCCGCACCTTGTATCTGCTGATCACTTTCGGCGTCAGCATGGATCACTCGGTGCAGAGCGTACTCGACCCACCCGAACATCTCTTCCGCATTCGACTGGTGTGCACCCTGCTGGAGACTTGCGGCCAATACTTCAGCGGCGGTTCCAGCAAGAAGAAGCTCGACTACTTTCTAGTGTTCTTCCAGAACTACTACTGGTTCAAGTACACGGAGCCAATCTGGACGGCCGAGAACCCGTTCCCCGTCGGGATAGACTATATGTACCGTGACACCCTGACGATGCTGCGACCTAAGATGCAATTGTTCCAAAGCTACAAGGAGGCGCAATGCGCCGTGGACGAGTTGAGAAATACTCTCTATCCGACTCTGGGCAATCCCTCCGCCGACGACGCGACTGCGGATGGCGAGACTGACATGGGCGTCATCATGGAGGTCGACGAGGAGGCAGCGGTGACTGGAAACGGGAGTGGGGACGCGAAGGGGATCGCCGAGCTGCACTTCGAAGAATCCGAGGACTGCTCCGAGGCGCAATCCGAGGAAGAATGGACGGCCGACGCGGAACGGGACGACGCTATGGGCACCCAAGAGAACACCCAAGGCGATCAGAGTCTATCGGAGGGCGGTACCGAGGGTGTGATAATGGATGTAACGGAACTGAACGCAGCCTTGCCAGCTGGACCGCGACGAGTGAGTTGTCCGGAGGACGACGACTTTCTGTCGGCATTGGATAAGATGGTGTCGGATAACATACAAGATCGCATGCGGGACTCGGTGAAGCCGCAACAGGTCGATATCTCGGTGCCACTGCATGTGAAGAGCACCAAGAAGACTTACGAGCAATTGCAAGAGAGACCGAGCGACAACACCACCGTGGATTTCGTGCTGATGTTGAGGAAGGGTAATAAGCAACAATACAAGAATCTAGCAGTGCCGGTGTCATCCGAGTTGGCCATGAATCTCAGGAATCGCGAACAGGAGCAGAAGGAGGAGAAGGAACGCGTGAAGAGACTGACTTTAAACATCACCGAGAGGCAAGAAGAGGAGGACTATCAGGAGACCATCAATCAGGGTACAAGACCGGTTACCGTAAATTTAAACAGGGAACGTCGGCAGAAGTATAATCATCCTAAGGGTGCTCCTGACGCCGACCTTATTTTCGGTCCGAAGAAAATTCGATAAGTTTGGTCATTCTGAAAATCAAATGGTTGTATTCTGTTGAGGAACTCTGACGTTTACGTAAGCATGAAAGACATCGAACTCGCGGCGGCATCGGACTACCGTTCGTCTCTATGTTTTTTGCTACGTGGTAGAATTTTCTGACTGTTGGAAACGCCATAGAACTTGTTTAAAAACGAACATCATGGTATGTGGAATACGAAAACAATTAAGTAACATGAGTGTATTATATGTACAGACAATTTGATTTAGCGCATTTAAGCATAATTGAAGGATTATTCGCCACGAGTAAAACTCTGTTTTGAATATTGAATTAAATAAAACATATTGCTCTAAATATATTGATCGAAGTGTACAGGTGTGACAAAAAAATCGAAAAAATAGGTACTTTTTTCGTTACAACGCACTGCCGATCTTAATTGATCTTAGATTACGCGCTAAACCAACTCGAGGGTTTACTGCATCATATGCATTTCGAATTTATAATAATGATAACTAGTCGCATTGACTTATATATAATTCTCCATCATATACGGTAATTTTTGTGTGAGCGAAGTGATATTAGGATTTTTCATAGACAAATTTATCGCCAATCATTATTCCATGTTACTCAACATTGTAATATACGATCCATTTATATATACTCAATTTGTTCTTATTTCTTTTCTTTTTCAATTGACTTCACATCTCATTAATTTAAAAAAATAAAACAAGAAAAGTATCAGATACTCTTCTTTCTTTTACACGAAAAAGTAAAATTCACAGGCTGTGCCAATTTATTCTATTGAGAGAACGAAATAAATAAAGAGAAAATGAAAAAAAACTCTTCGCCATTGATGTACAATTATTTATTTTTATCTAAGAAATTATCATCATGTACAAAATGAATATAAATAAATGTTTAGGTGCTTTTACGTTTGATACGTAAGTCTTGCAATAACGATGTCACGTACGCCTACCGAAATATATGAAAATTGGTAATCGTGTAAATTAACACTAAATGCCATTCGGACCTGAAAGTCATATTTTACGGATCTTCCTCCGCGTCTTCGAATTGACCCGCTTCAACATCCATAGCTTCTTCCGCCTCCGATCCGTTATGACTGGCCCCCATTTGCTCTATAAATATTTTGTGTAATAGCACACAACACTTAAACATAACATGACTAAGTCGTTAATTTTTTACCCATATCGATAGCTAATAAATTCATTGACGATACGTTCAAAATAATTTTTGCTTCCGATGTTATTGTAAAGGGAGAATCAGCTGATATACGTTCATATTATATAATTTTATATAAGGAATTTTTAAGTACGAAATCTGATATTCAAAGGATTAAACCTGAATATAAATAAATATATACCTGTTGGCAAGATATAAGGAGCGTCACCGGCACCCACTTCCTCACTGTATTCGCCATAATCTTCTGCAGCATCCTCATAAATATCCTCTTCGATTGCAGAAATGTTTTATCATTGCGGCTTGTCAATTAGAGATATTAATTATCCTTTTTTTTCTTTTATTACTTACCGTCCGAAAAACTGTCTTGCGGGTCAGGGTGAAGTGCTTGGCACGCGTTCATCGCTTGAAACATTAATTCTAAATTATTTGTATTATCCGGCGCAAATCGCATTTCCGTAATTGGAGTGTCCCCATCATCGTCCTCATTTTCTGAGCCGTTGTCGGGTGATAATGGTAATGGCATGTCTGAATAAAACATATAAATATATATGTAGCTAAGTTCCTTTTATACACATATATACACACAACTTATTGCGATATGTAATATAAAAAAAATCATATCCGAAATATGAGAAGCACACCTGGGAGATCCACTTTGCCATCAACCATAACATATAAACATTGTCTGGGATGAACTTGTTCGTCTCTAGAAATAGCATGCAATGAAATATGAGGATATTCGAGTGAAAATCCCTGTTGTGTGTCACTGTTTACCCAAGAAAGCACACTGCAAATAAGATCACGTGCAATTAGAATACATAATAAATCCAGTCTGAAGATCTTTGAGATTGATGACCGGCATTGATTCGTTACCTTTCTGTGATGTAGAAAGTACCCTTTCCCACTTCTCTGTCGTTGATGTATACTGTAGTATTCTGCTCCTCATGGCGTATGCCTTCCTGCGGAGTTAGGAAATTGCTAAGCACTACCATGTTTTAATCTGAAAACAAACATGTTGACAGTATAATAAAAGTATGTATTATATATATTAATTATATATGTCTATAGAATAATAATTAGTTAAGACTAATATGGTTGTGTATATGTACGTGTGTGTATGTATGTGTATGCGCATATGTATATGTATGTATATGTTCTTCATTACAATTATAGAAACACAGCAATAATACATGGACGTGACACGGAAAGCAGAAACTTCGAGGCTGTCTCGCGCTGATCTCATCGTAGCATGCGTAGGCAGAAATCATTAGTTATTAAACGTCGTGACGGACGCAAAAAAGACAACTGAGTCAGAATCGCACGATGACACTCGCGTCACACACATGTGAATGCTTCTTACGTGATGATCTCGTAAAGGAAACGCGAAGTACACGCAAGCACGTAAACAGAAGGGAGCTACGAATCTCCACGGAGATTCGCGACTCGTAAACACCGGTGTCGCTGTCCGGCACTCCCTAACCAAACGGAATTACTCACTCTCTCGCTCGTTCTCTCGGCTACTCCGATTGTGCCAGAGGAATCGGTCCCGGACGCGAACTCGACGAAACTCCCCCGCGATGCACAGACGTGCGTAGTTTTTTCTAAATCCGCGATACCTGTTACAAAATTGCGGCTAAGTCGCAACTCGCCGCCGACGTGATCGCTTTCACCCAACTCAGCTGTCACTAGGGATGGGCGAAGTTCGATCGATGAATCGACGTTTAATTAGTTTATCCCTTCCGGGGGCCAAATATCCTCTCGATCTTTCCGAACTCGATGGTCGTTTAATATTCAACGTTGTCAGATTTTATCGTTGAACTTGACTGAACACACATCTGACCCCAAGAGATTCGAGTCTCGGATGAGCGACCCGTTATGATTGGACCCGTTACTTTCGTTAGTTCTCAAGTCTCCGTTAGGAGTCGCCACCATTTCTACTCGTGATTCGAGGTCGTAGCCAGTGGAAGAAAGATTGCAGCACTCGACGGAATATTTAGATCTAGATGAAACTAGAAGTGTCGATAACATTTTGTTCGACAGTATCGATGTATTCAAATATGAACGTTTATACAGTAAAAGATTGTGGAAGCGGCGAAATATGTATGTTAGACGTACGCCGCGAAATCGTCGCGTCGTTATACTTTTCGTATTTCTTCATGTCACATTTTATGAGATGTGAGTGTAACTTTGCGTTCGTGTTCTGTCCAAGATATACTTCGATGTTTCCTTACATCAGTTTTTGTCGATCTGCTGATGTACCGTTACTCAACAATTTTTTCCTGGAAAAGTAAGTAGAAAATACAGAATTAACTTTTTTCATACAAAGTATTGTTTATAGAAACTGATAATTGTCGGTAGGCGTGTGCGGAAAAGTAGCCAGAATTGAAAAAATTTATTTTGTAATATCGCTTTCACTTTTGATCAAAATTGATCTATGAAATTATGGAGAATGCTTTATTTTTATTTCTTATCAATTTGAATGTGTCACTCTGTTTATAATTTATAACTTTATGAGTAAAATAATTTAAAAAATATAATATACAATTTTAATAATGATTTATTTTTTTTCATGTTTAATTTTCATTGTCTACTAATATTGAGACAAAATAATTTGGCAATATACAGACATACATACACATTCAAAGAGTAAATATTAGATATTAAACAGATGTAGGAGTTTTTACTCCAAGTGCGACTTAAAATAACAGGTCAAAGGGATTTTTATTTCAGAAATAATAAATATTTAACAAAAGATTGATTATCTCGTTGTTTTATATCGGGTAGTATATACATGCACGTTATCACATCCTTCTTTTAAGCATCATTAAATATTATTAATACTTTTTATATATATTAAATACGTGAAAAGGTTATTCTCGATGTTTTTAAGATATAATCTGTGACAAAGTATTAATATTTTACTATGATTGATTGTTTAAACATCGATTCTCTTTTCAGCATATTACGAACTATTTGTCACTTTCATATTTGGTAACGTTATATTTTGTTATAAATACCGATCAAAAATCACAATCATTTCTTATAAACTAACTATATAACAATGAAAATTACACATATACTTTATCATGTATATGTCTCTTCTAAATCTTATAATAAGATGCTTATCAAATATATTAAGCATCGAATTATACTACGAAACATTTCTTTGGATATTTTAAAAGGAGTCTGAAATATTTGTAATTTCATAACTCTACAACCGTCATGAATAAACTTATCATTAAATTTTAATAAATTTTTGTAAACGAACGTTCGTCCAATATGGAAGATATAAAATGTTACATGACACTGAATCTTTTGTATACGAATCTCCAATTTTAATTTTCACAATACGCTATTATATCGTGTAGTAATCATAAAAATCATTTCCTATATATTTTTAGATAAGCACTTTATTTTTAGATCTTGGAGCATGTATCTGTCCAAGGCCGATATCCAAAATCTTTCCGAGTACGTTTTTATCTTACATGAACAGCATAAAACTTATTGTTATATATATGTATGTATATAATCTTCGATATTGTAATTATTAATGTTACATATCGTATAAACCATATTATAATCATACTATAAATCATGTACGACGTTAGTAATTACAACATCGAGAGTTGTCAAATCAATTTCATGCTGGTGAAGCTTTATGAGTGTCACTAAATCGGTTTTAGACCACCATGTAAACGTATTAGTTATCGATTAGCTTAGTGGAAGTTTGGTGAAAGTTATCCTATATCGGTCACGGAATTTACAACTTTGCTACATAGTTCGCAGGGAAGAGACCCGTCTTCCCTTTCAGTCTTCCATGCCACCAACCACCCTCATCTGAAATACAAGAACATTGGTTATAATTAATTATCACATAACTTATATGGTGTTATCGTTACCAAAAATAGTTGGTCTCTTCTAACAAAATTCTGTGTCATTATTAACCCTTTGAGTACTGAATTATTTGAAGATTTTTATGCCCATGGGACGGATTTAATTTGTCGCTATATGGATTAATATGTAAAAGTAATACATTTTATGCCCAAGTAAGCAGATGACGAGTCTCATTCGTCAAATGTACCCAAAGGGTTAAGCAAGAAAAATGACAGCGCAAAACAACTCACGTTCTTTGAGTACTTCTATGATATCGCCTTCTTTGAGCCCTAACTCATCGAGATCCTGCGGCTCATAGTCGTATAAAGCTTTAACCTTTGGCAAACTCGGTGGTGTGGGTTTCTGAGGCGGCTTTTTATTGGCTATTGCGTACGCGACATTTTCTTCCATTCTTCTCGTATGCATCGTCGCGTCATTGGATTGTCTAGCGTTCCATTCTTGGCTCGTTTGCATTCCTTTGTTCAGATGACTAGAAACCTTATTATCGTATTCGCTATTGAGGGGCGGCAATCTAAACCCTGCAGGTTCATGCGGAGGCGGTGGTTCTGTAGGCGGTGGAGGAAATTTCAGCAAACCTGCGAAATATTACATATTGAAATATTTTTAAATAAACCTTTGTAATCTGATCATAATTTAACCGTCTAATTTGCCGTGTATATTTTACAGATCATCGATAAGTGCGCGCAAAGTCTCTTTAACTGAATTTTATTTAACCGAATACATTCTCATTATTTAACGCGCTGTTAAGTTTATTTCTCACAAGAGAACAAATAAAAAACTTGTCTTCAATAATTGTATTTGTTGAAATATAAAAAAACAATTCACCACGTGGCCCGGCAGTGGGATTGGTGAACATGCCCATTGTAGTAATCGATTTGTTCTGCAATTTGTTCGGTTGATTTACTCCCTTCCTCACGTCCTTACGAGGCTGTGCAACTTGAAAACTTGGCCGATTTGGTGGAATGTTCGGTCTGTCATTTGAAGGCGCTTGTGCGGGTGCCGTAGTCCTCTCGGCCGCTACAGGTCTTACGGACATTCTCGTGGCCGCTACGGTGGTCTGATTACTCGGAAATGCGGCCGAGACATTCGTGTCGTTTGCTTGCAAGATCAGCTGCGGCGTTCGACGACTTGGCTTCGAAATATTACCGTTGCGCGGATAAGAGGGCGAGATTATCGATCGATTTCGATTTGGTTCTGAAATAATCGCGATATCGTGCTGTGTAGGGAGCTTAACATAATGAGAAATTATTATCTATCGATGATTTCGAGGAGGAACTCACTCGTCGTGTTCGGTAATCCCGGACCGACGCTGATATGGAGAACTTTGCCGCTCGATTTTAGGATTTCTCGATCACCGTAATCCAGCTGTATGAATTTCAGCTCCCTCGTTCCACCACCGCCCCAACCTTCTTTCTTCACTTTAAACTCTAAGCTGAAAACCAAATTAAGAAATTCATTTTGATTTATTTCGAGTGTAGGAGAATGTATTATATATATATATATACGCAATGCAATAATAGCGATATTATATATATGAAGTATGTATGTATATTTAGTTCGTACTTATTGCTAAACCTAACGTTCAAACAGTGGCCAGTGTCTTCTAGGTATTTTTTATTGAGGATAGATAGGAATTCCGTTTTAAATACAGATTCCAACAAGCTGGCGTAGTCTTCCTTCGTATGGATAATTACGAAATTGTCCTGTGAAAGGGAATTATTTTCCAAATATATGCTGCTAACTGTAAGGTACGGTGAATATAGGTTGATCCAAATAGTTCACGATAATTACCTGCAGCGTACTTAATGATACGTGACTGATTTGATTAAATGGCAACTTCCTCTTAATAACTTGGATGGATTTGCCTTTCTCAGGACCTTTCTTTATTTGCTCTCGGCCGATTAAGTAAAGACACTTTCCGGTAAGTATAAGATCCCTTCTGGACATCTATTAGATAAATTTCTCGTTATAACAATCGTACCTTAAATTTGAAAAGCCTTAAGAATTGCCCTAAGAATCATAGATTTGAATACAAATTTTATAAAAATTTAGCAATAAGAGGGTTTAAAAATAAAATTAATTAAAAACAATATTAAAATCACATATTTAAAATCATATATAATAAGAATATATATTAGATAAATAATAATAATTAAAAATAATAAAAAAGTAAATTTTAATAACACTTTTATTTAACACATTGCATGCGGGAAACGTACTTTTACGTTTTTTTCAGTCTGTCACTAGAGCACGGGTCACGTAAAAATACGTACTTAGTAGATTTGTGCTGGAGAGCGGGTATCGTATAAATATGATGGGCATTATAAATGTGTACGGTGTTTGTGTTTGTGTTGCTATGCAATGATTTCCATTGTTTCTTTTTAGAAGTTCAGTTTGTTGAGTTACTTAGTTTAATTGAATATTTTACTGAATATCAAACTTCCGCGAAATTCACGAAAAAACGCCCGCTACACGTGTAAGTCCGCGGCGAAATATATCCGCATGCAATGTGTTAATACAGGCAACTATATTCTGCGTTTATTTCATCTCATGGCGATTAATATTTTTACCTTAAATCTCCTATCGTACTTTTTCACAACTTCAGCAAAGAACACCTTTTCCCGTCTTCCGATGAGACTCATCGTTTGCGGTTTGGTCTCCAATCCTATATAATCTCCCACGAAATTCCTATTCAAGCTCGCTTGCCTTCGTTCTTTACGGCCGAAGAAGAGATTAGCCGCTTCCTGCTTCTGCTGTGCCTGCCTTTTCCGTGCAAAATACTTCTTGAAGGCTTTCTGAATGACTCGTGCGTGCATATTGTACTTCCGGTCACGAGCTTCCTCTAGCATAAAGAGCTAAGTCGAAAAACGTTGGATTAATTAGTCGAGAAGAACTTTCAAAACGCGCGTTTGAAACGAATTCCGAGAGATAAGGAAACCTACGCTTTCGGGCGCCTTGATAAAGATTTTCGTTTTACCAAGCTGATATTGCGATCTGTCGATATGGACACTGTTCAATATCCATTCCACGCCTTGCTTCTCGTTTCCGGGCCAACGAGGCCACGTCAGAACGCCTTTCGTCAGAATCGCATATCTGTGTAGAAACTTGGCGAACGGTCTCCTGTAGGCGAAGCCAGCTCGACGCACTCTAATATTCTCCTTTAAACCTAGATACTCCACCTGGATTTTCGCGAAAAAACGTGCATGAGCGTTTGCGTCGAGACGAAAATTCAGCACGAACGATAGGGAAGACCAGTTGATCCAAAGATTATGTTAACCATATGTTTCGTTTAATATCAAATTTCGCTTATCGTAAATGTTCCTTTTAAAATACAGAAGTACCTTTCTTATCCTATCTTGAAGAAAACACATTATTTCATTGACTCCCTTTTTTCCCGCGATGCCGATCGGCTATCTCGATCTCAATGCGAGTTTATACTATTAATATTATACACGATTATACACGGAAAATACTAAAACAATGAATAAGTAACGTCTCGCCGGTTACTACGTGTTTGTAGCGTTCAATGTTCCAAAGGGGAAACACATTTTGCATTTTTCCATTTCCGCTATTCCTCTCACAAGAAATACCACAAACGGAACACGTGGCCAATATACGTCCGTTAAGCCAACTTAACTCAGTCTCCTGTACCGGAAGGATTATCGTACCTGATGCTTGATCCTCGTGTGATCCCAGTCCCGCGGCTTTTTCGTCTCATTCGGCTTGATACACCGTATGTAATGCGGTGTACACTTCATCAACTGTCCAACTAAGCGACTAGCTTGATTCCTAATCTTACTGCCCGCAGTGGTCGGTCGAGATTTGAGGGTTTTCGTTTTAGCGGCATCCTTCTCCCGCGGGTAAAGTTCTCGTACCAAGGAGCTGGGATCAAATGCATGCGTTTATATTTTCAAACGTACGACAATCACGATATTAATAACACTTTATCGCCCGGAACTCTATTAATATTTTAAAAAATATAAAAAAAAAGTATATAAAAACTTTCCACCCGCAATGCCGGTGGGTTAAGATAAGTATCGAGAAAATTAATCGGCGAGTTGCGTTATCATGATCATATATGTTGAGATGTTGCCCATGGATTCCGTAACCGTGGTGTGTCACCGTGATTTCTATTAAAACGCGAGAATCCGCCTGACTTTTCCGCCGGGCGTTCGCGTACGCGACTTTCGCGAAGTAGTTCGCGCGCGATCCCCTTACGTAAATAAGCGCGAATAAACGGTCGTTTAAAGTTACGCGATGATTATGTGGTATTAGCGTGAAATTATTTATGTAACCGCGCAAACGGTCCCCCGGCTGCCGGACGTTCGAGCACTGTAAATGTTAAATCGCAACGTCAGTCGACAATTTCCTGCTCATACATTCGCGGTATCGGGAAACGAGGCACGGCATCGCGACCGATACCGCGGAGAGCGAAGCCACGATACCGCCACATTTAACACCAATGCTTCCGATATTAAATATTCGTCGGCGGATCGATCGGAGAACGAGCACGAGCAATTATTAATCATGGTCGAACGGGCGGCCGCTTGCGCTCACTTCGCTTTCAAAATAATAACGTGTCACATGAATAATTGATAATCATGCTAATGGCCATCGAGATCGCTTACTTCGTGCTGGTCTGCATCAGCTCTATCAGATCCAAGAAAAGGACGTCGCGGTTCTTATCGCAGAATCCATCCACGGAATAAGACACCACGCCGGCGTAATGAAGAATCGCGAAACCGTCGCCGGTGTCTTGGAAATGAGCATGTCGCTGCGACGCTCCCGCCAGTTTCTGCAATTTGTGACATACAAGTTGATAATTCTTCATACGCAATCATGGGGGGGGGGAGGGGGGGGGGATAAGATGCAAAATTGACTTTTATTTATCAGGATTCGTTCAAACGAAATCCCTCGTCCGTCATAATTCATTTTATTCGTAATAATTATCCTCTTTATCCGCGTACGGAACAAAATTTGTGAGACAGAATGGGGACTGAACGAAAATTCGATGACGACAAACGATATCTCTGTTTTATCGCGACCGGAAGTATTCGTCTGAACCTTCGGTTGCGATAAAACTCGAAAGATAACTTCTCGTTGAGGTAACTGAGAATAGTTGACTGAATAGAAATCTCCCACGGAAATCTTTTTGTTTCTACAATCAAGTTTTTGTCCGGCCCCGGACAACAGGAGAACAGTTACACGAACCGAGTTTTTTCTCGCGTAATAACTCAAAATACGTTGTATTCATACTAATTGCCCTCTTTACCCGTGATAATTGAGAATATGCTAATTGAGAATACGTTGTTTTAACGTCTTGGTTAACTGATAATCACCACCAGCAAATATAGCATTATTTAACTTTTGAACGGCTTAAAATTCTCTGAGTCACGGACTTTCTCACGGAAGTGGAGAGAGAGATGACTGATAAGAGTAAAGGACACTCAGTCGGTCCCAAATTTCTACGTATTAAAAGAGCCTGGCAGTTAAAAAGTTAAGGTCACCTTCTTCAAGTCGGTGTCGGCACCGGTGCTCCCGCCGTGTAGCGTCGCACATACATCGTCGAGCACCAAGAACAGACCGGGTGGCCTCTTACCCTCAAGAAGTTCCACCACGATGGCGTTATTAAAGAATTCGACCGGCGTCCATCTGATATTTTCGGCAACATATTCTTCCTGAAACAGAAACGAAATCGATCGATCGATCGAGTGATACGAAAATGAATTCGTTATCCGCGAGAATAGTTTCGTTGTCGGTTTCATTTGGCGATAAAGCAATTCACTGTTAATTCACGATCGTCCTTTTCCGAATGAATAATAAATAAAATATCGAATATAGATAAATGTTATATATTAATTGTTTGTTAACATAAGCAGAGGAAGGGAACAACGCGAACTTGAATCACACAAGCCGGATCTACGGTCAACTGGATTATACGTTCATTTATTTCTTATCTTTATGCAGCGTATGTTTACGATTCACCTTCTATGATTCATATTCTATGATTTCGATTAACAATAATTCTTTTTTATTTCTCCATCTTTGATCGTTCTCTTTATAACTTTCCATTACAACGTTTCCTTATAGTGATAATTATTATACTGTTGAAATAAAAGCCCAAATTTGCAATCATTTAATTTAATTTCACACTGATCGATATTAAATATTGATTTATGCATAAATAACCGTGTATAGGCTCTCGGGCTTTGAATTTTGCTCAGATTGGATACAGATCGGATAAGAACGGTTTCTATTTCTATTTCTCTTTATTTCTCCGTTATGTTCGCGTCATTACTCGAACAATTTAAACGACTAATCTACCTCTCTCGTGGCAGGTATGCGCGGGTTGCCAAGGTTTACATTTACGACAAGCGTTACGTCGAAAACGCAGGATTAATTACGCGCGCCGCCAGCAACGCCGTGCAGATCGTACACGTACAAGCGATTTATATCGCCGCTTACTCGAGGCGATGGAAAGGAAAGGCGTAGTAATAACGCGATTGCCGGGTGCTTTTAAAATCGCTTTCCATTTCAGCTCACCGAAAGTGCGCCACGCGGTTCGAGCTGCCGGCACGAAAACCGGTCGCCGCTCGCTATTTCAGCCCTTTCCACCATCCCGGCCGCCTGTTTCGCAACGTTTATTATCCACGGTGCCCCGCATAATTATCGCGAAACTTGAACAAAACGCACGACGACTGCGCACGTTCTCTTAACACGCTGTGAATTCCGTGACGGTCACCGGTAACTGGCACTATGATATCATCGCGACTTACTAAGTTGCAGTACTGATGTAAAGTATAATTACTTGCATCTGAAAAATCAGTTGCACGGTCGATACACTGCAAGTCCAAGTGTGTTATTTTTTCACGCATAGACGTTTAAAAATGATACATTTAACCGAAGCTTATTTTAAATGTTTCTCGCCGTTTTAAGTTATTTCAAACGTTTAATCATGTTAAATTATAACGCATTCAATCATGTTAAATGACGTGTTTAAAACGGCAAGAAATGTGTAAGAAAAGCTTCAGCTAAAATAACACATTTATACAATAACACATACATCGCCGTATCATTGATAATTCAATAATCTTTGATAATAATAATAATAAATTATGAATATTTTGATAATCTTTTTTTTTCAATAAAATTATTTAATCTTTAATAATAATAAATTTTAAAAAGTTCAATATCACAATGATTACCGATGACTATATCACTGCGATTTTTTAATTAAGTTACGTGAAGGTATAATTGATTGCATCTGAAAAATTTTAAACGATATAAAAGACATATTCGCCCTGAATTTCATTTGTTTATCGTAATTACCTTTGGCAATTCAATCGTCAGTAAAGTTTTGTAGAATCAGCAGAAATCAACGCGACAATCCACATGTTAATGTCGCGATTCGTACGATACATCAGTCGTCGACTTCCTTTCTTTTCTTCCCGCTTTTTTTTTGCGCGCGATCGCATCGATGATCCCATAATAGTCGCGGAGATGCACCACGACGGACAACGCGAGAGAGAGACAGAGGCGGTTCCGCTTGGCAGAAACTGGGCGATCTGCTTTTAAGTAAACAATTTTCGAGCTCGTCTTCTTTTGTGCTCACGAAGGCGATTCACGGCCACGGCTTTTTACTCGGTCTAGTTGCGGTCCGATCGCGCCGCATCGCGACACGCCGCCCCGGCTCGAAGCCGACCAGAAGTGGCACGATTTTTTCGTTATGGACTTTACTCAAGTTAACGACTCTTTTTCACGAGACTGGCCTCTTTATGACGTCTTTCGTGGCTCTAGTGCGACTTTGGAACATCGTGTCCGATCGTTCCTCGAAGCACCGACGCGGCTTTTACGACTTGCAATTGATTCGCCTATCAGTATCGATTCGCCTTCGACACATATTTTGATTGCACACCGTTAAAATAAAATTATATACTAGAAACGGGGGAAGAGAAGAAGGTATATTTTTTATATTTCATGGATTTAAAATTAATATATTTACGTAATTCTTACACCGAGAACAATTTCCATCTAACGATTAAATGAACCGATTAAATGATGCATACGATTGTTACTTTTATTGTCCGATCATGCGATGGATATCTTTACCTGATGAAGATTCCGATGAAGTTACCAATGAAACCTAATCGGAAAATTAATCGTCCTTTGTATATCCGTTATAATTTGTAATTTACATCAAATAAAGATACAACTTGAAATGACGAAATAATCGGACGTTGCACTTAGATGGATATAGATCGTTTGTTACCTTTTATTTGAATTATCCCATCAGATGTGATATGATCAGATATTTTTCTCAGTATAGCTAATTTGTAAGTATGAAAAAATAGAGCTCAAGCACTGCGCGGACAATTAATTAGCCGCTTTATCGCGCTTCTTCAACAATAACGGCAGTATAATAATTAATAACGCAGTACCTTGATTAAACGCAACCACAGTGTTGTATACGCGTTGATCGCATAAAACACACAAAGCAAAACGAATCGTGCGTTCGAAGGTAGTTATGAGCACGCGTAAGTACCCATTACGCGTTTCCGACGCGCGTCGAGTAATAATGTGTTATTTCATACACCTCTTTCCCTCTCTTTCTCGCTCTCTTTTTCTCTCGTTCTCTCTTCTCTTAACGCGTATAATATGTTATAATGTCATTCTCTACGCGTTTTCCATCTAGCTGTCCTCGCTAACCAAATGTTTTCCGTTTCGTAAAAGATCCAATTGCGCGTACAAAGCATCTAGTTAACCGGCGCGTTTTCTATTCGCATTTGTCCGGCACATCCGTGGCTATCACGTTAATTTTTCACTGACAACTGATCCCCGACCCCACCTGCTCGAAAAGTACCGTAGATAATTCCACGGTTTAAGGACACTCGACGGTTACGCGTTCTGATTTCCGTACGGATTCGCGGAATGCATCCACCACGTGCATTGTCCCCGACATCAGAGATTGACCGAATCGTATGCAACTGTACATCAGCCAGGAGTGAATTTCTCGCGTGGTAATCGACGTTGGTCATCATATAATATCGCCCTAAAAATATATATATTTAAAGAAATAAAAGCGTATTACTTAGAGAAATAGAATAACAAATCACACGGACATATTTGCGTAAAATTTTTCGAAATTCTCCGTTGTTATCTCTTCGAAAAAGAAAGATTTCTTATTTTCAAATTTTCTCGTCGTTATTCTTTCAACAAAAATCTTGAGTCAACTAAATGAGAGTTTTAGTGTGTGTCGTAATCGTACACATGAACAGGTGTCATGACAAAAGCACACGCAGTCAGCACGAACGAGTACGACGCGCAACGTCGAAAAGAATCGCGTTTGAATCGCATTCGTACGTCGATTTTTTGTCGAGATAGAAGCACCCGAAGTGTGAGGAATTTTCAAAGGCGGCGAAAGATCTTTTGCCAGCACGTGGCGTAAACATATTGTAGTGCATTCGCTGGGCGGACCTCACACTTCTCGTCGGCGCGTTTGGCACAAAGAGAGCGGTGCGCGACATTGTAGCGGTCGCAGGTGCCTCTTTGACGATTCCTCCGCTCGTTAATATATCTTCACATAGAAAAGTCGTAGCGACGTGAAACAAAATGCATTTTGCAGCTAAGACTGTCCCGCTTCCCAATGGCAGGACAACCGTGATTCTATATTACCGTTTAATTTTACCGTTTAATATCAATATATCGCTAAACCTGATTCTTAAAAAATGTTTTTAATCTATTAATTTATATATCTTTAATTTTACATTTAATTTTTCAATAGAAATTTTTTTATAGAATTTCGTTCGTGTTAAAGAACGTCGAAAAGCGTGAATATAATTTTAATTCGCGCAAATCGCATCGAATATATACAGGGAGATCGAGATAGGTTTGCAAACTTTTTATAATTTCCGTATTAGGTCTTTCAGAGAACGGATTTTTACAGATTGACTATACAAAGACCGGCACCTCATGTCGACCTATCCCTTTATATCAATCTGTCCCGGCCTTCCGTATATATTTGAATTTGTGTATCCTTTGCCGGTTTTCCCACGTTCCAGAGATCCTTGTGCTTCTACGCATTGACGAGAACGGGCGTCTGGTGCAGCGCATCGTTCGTTGCGAATTAGTACTAATGAATGAAAAAATGGTCGTGACACGCGAGCTAATTAGATCGGGAGTAATGCCTCTCATGGGAAACTAGGTGCCTCATTGTTGCCGGAATTAACGGAGTTTCGGCGAGGAGCATATAAAAACGCAGGTAATGAAGAAGACGAGCGAGCGCGCACGTGTATACTGGGTTAACGGCAGTGAAAATGAGAACGGGAAGCCCCGTCTCGATTTCGCGAGAGATCGCCGGCGAGATTCGCGACGACAGTTAGATGCCAAATGTCAATCGCCATCCTGGGCGTTCCAGTTGCTCCGCGTCTCTGTGAAATTCCTCGTTAAAAAACGTGACAAGCATCCTTGCCACGGTCTACGCCTATTTGTATGTAGCTTCAAGCTTCATTCGCCAGAGGATCAAGATTCTCCCCATCAATTAATTGCACGATGAAATCTCGCCGAGGGTTCTGCATGAAGGGCAGGCTTTTATCTTGCGCGTATTATTGCTGAAAAATCCAAGGCTAACTGTACTCTTATCGCGGCGCGCATCGGGAACGTAAAAGATATTATTCTCGTGTACCCGCCGGAAATTCAGCGTTGTCACTATTGTGACAATGCTGAATTTAAATCACGCACAAAGAATAAGCCCTTAATTCGATTACAAATTATAGTCATATTTTATACTAACCATAATCTTCTTGTTGTTGTAATCAAGAAATAACAATAGCAATATGCAGGTTTTTATTAATATTATAGTAGCGCTCACTAAAAATGAACTTCTTGATTGTAACGCAGGCCGATAGAACAATATTTGTCGAGTAATTCTAATCAGAGTAGGTATTTCTTATAATATTATAGCGTGGTATCTCCAAAATAACGGTACATACTTCAAAATGTCCCTCGTGATTACGTAGGATTTTTATTTCAACGTGTACTTCCAACTTTGGGCGATACATAGTTAACAGTGTATAGTCATAAACACTTTCTTTCTCAGCGCGTCTCGTAACCGTAACGAATGGGGTACAAAAGTACTGATTTTTTCTTCCTTTTTCTCGAGAAACTTTCTTCCCAACATATTATAAGACATTCGTTACGCCGAGGGCTTTCGATTCGACTCAATCGGACTCTTAACACGTTGAATGCCGTGACAGTCACTGGTGACCGGCACAAGATACCACCGTGCCCTCTCGTTGAATTACGCGTAAAGCGTAATTAATCGCATTTGGAATATCGGTCGTACGGCCGATCGAGAAGCAATGAAACGGTAATAAAAGATACGTGCCTCACGGGTTACATTTATTTACCGTATCTCCCCGGTGATTCGACCATCAATAAAGAAGCTTTCGTACAATCAACGGAAATCAACGCAGCGATGATCGCATTAAAATCACCTCCGTCGTGGGACACGAGTCGCGTTTGACAGGTGCGCGAGCCACGTGCGACGCGAGACGGCTCGAAAGCCGCGGACGAGAAATAACGCGCGCCAATCGAGAACCTCGCAACTGCAAAGAAGTGGTGGAACCCGCACGTGGGAAGAGAGACGGAGCAAAAGAGAGAGAGAGAGAGAGGACGAGAACGAGAGAAGCAGATGGGGGGAGGGAGATAGAGAGAGAGACAGCGGCCGCTACACTTAGCTATTTCATTACCTTCACTCGATCCTTGGCCGCAGTGTACACGGAGCCGCGACCACGTTTCGTCCGCGCGTCGATCCTCGGTCGCGAGAACGATATCGATCTCGCGCGCGCGCACATACACGAGACGCGGATGAATCGTGCGTGAAACGCATAGTGAACTCCCGAACGAAGGCTTTCTCGCCGAAGGCCGCGAAGGCGGTGGATACGATCCCACGGGATTCCGCGGGAACAGGTGAGGACGAGCGCGGGTACACCTACCTACGAGGTGCTGGGACCCTGGGAGATCGTATGTTCCTTGTCCTGTCGCGAGTCTTCCGTTCTTCAGGTACGTTCGTTCGATCCGTTGGAACGATCGCGCTAAATGGACGCGCGCGTGCGTGCACGCGCGCTGCGCAGTATTATTTAAACGAGATCGATTATCGTGGTCGTCGTCGTTAACCAAGTTAGCGTTACTTTTAGTGGAAACTTTCCCGATTCGTATCACGACGAAGAAAGCGTTTCCAGCGGCTGGTACGTCGCGTTTTCCCGTATTGTTTCAGCTCGCACCAGTCGGGAAATTTGCGCGATAAATCACAGCTCGGTAAATCGCACGCTGTTCTGGTCTTGCAGAGGAGGAGAGTCCGTAAGGTTTGTTTTCGAACCTCTCTGAATTTCATTCCAGAATATCAGAAACGTTTTATTATCGTGAGGATTATTGAAATCGGGTGATTCTGGCCAAAATAAACGTATTTTGACATCTGTTCTTCCTGTGATTCCAATTAATCCGATTTTTATCGTCAGTGTTGGTTCTGTCGATGAAGAATGTATCGTTTGTATGTTATTTAAATCGTGTGTGTATATACAGAATCATTGTTTGCATACAAGTGTAACTATCTTTGAATTTAGTAGTATATTTATGCACATTTTCAAACTTAATGAACTTCGTAATTCTATTTAACTAAATCCATATATATTTAGCGTGAATTAAAAAAATTATACACACATATAAATATAATTTAATTCTTTTCTCTACCTAACATATGTTATCAATATCATCTCTACTTGAGACACACACACACTCACACACAAATGTAATGAGATAATATGTAGGTGACATTAAAACTTTGATAATAGAAATGACATTAATTAGAAATGCAGGATAAACAAACGTCAAAATAATCTGTTGCGGTTAGAATCGTCTGATATAAGTAATTCTTATAATAATAGAACACTTCAGTACACAGTAAAAATACACAGCAAGAAACTTTGTGTTGAATTTAATACGTTTCACACGTTTCCCGAATGGTCCACACAAATTTTTATGCTGATTTAACACAAAGTGATTATGTTGAAAAGTAACGCAAATATTACGTCAGAAATTAACACAAAATTAATGTCCATAATATGTTAATCGATGTTAAAGTATATATTTTATACACGTTAAAATAGAAAATATTGAGATAATATGAACATATGATAAATTAACATACAAGCATATTAAAAATTTGACACAAAACTTTGAACAAGGACCGATTTTATCACAAGTAAAAGATATTTTTTACTGAGTACACGTATGTGAACGAAAGGTACAATAATTTATTTATGAATTTATATTACGATTGAACACGAAGTGATTCGTAAACATGTAATCAAGCCGAACGAGCAAAGATCTCTTAATTGCCCCGAGTTTCAAGTCAGAATGGCACCGCTCCATTCGCGAGAATCTCTTTTTCCCGCCGAGATTCATTCAGCGGTCGTTCACGCGTCTGTTTCGCGGATTTCTTTCGGCGACAATTTCGCGCGGTGATTAATCGAAGTAGCGCGACCCCGGCCCAAAAGGCGGAGGAAGATTCGTCGCGAACAACGACGCCGACCACTAACCCACTGTCTCTATTTGGAAGCGTGGCGGCATTTTCGAGTTCGATCGTCGTCACGCTGATCCACGTAGCGCGCTCCGTAGCTGCGTTCAAATCTCGCTCGTAAAGGCGGACCACTTAAATTTCACAGGCCGCGAGTGACGGGCGGCGATCTGTAAGAGAGCGCTCTGAGACTCGCGCGAGACGCGCATGAATCGGCCGCGGGAGACACTGGGAGAATACGCGACCCATTCGTCATGCTCAAAGAACAAACCGTTATTAACGTTATCGCCAGATGTATTATTTGCAAATTGAATCCCGTTTTACCGAAGCGCGAGGGAAATGCACGCGAACGTGTGTGTATCCGCGTCCGTGAAAACTCGTGGAAAAAATGTCAACGAAAAAGCGAAGAAGCTACGTCTGGCGATCCCCCTTCCCCGTCGACGAGTCCGCGCACGCTCGACGAACGTCTCTCGAGTTTCGGCCTCGGCTCTCATCTCGCGAGTCAGCGCGCATTTATAGATACTTCGCAGTTGCGGATCGCGGAGCGCTTTCGCGTCGACTCAAATCGCTCCCTCGAACCGCCAATATTTTTTAATGAGACTTAATTGCCGCACGATTGAAACGCAAGTGCAACTCGGACTCAGCCGCGCGGCGGCCTCCCGCAGTCGCGAGCGGACGATTCGCGGATATCGCCTTCAATGGGCGGGTTGTCGTTGTAACTAACGTTAGCGAACACCCTTTGATTGATTCTCTTTTCGCCTTATTATGAAACGTAGCGCGCATGGCGGAGAGAAAACGCCGAGTTTCGATTCTGATTTGAGCGCGAACAAAGAACGCGGTTACGTAAAGGGCCAATTAAATGCATCGCCCCGCTCGTTTTCGTGTCCGCCGCGGGACAACCACGATCGATCTGCGAAAATTGACCCAATAACTGGCGCATTTTATCGTTTCTTCTCTTTTTTTCTCCCTCTCTCTCTCTCTCTCTCTCTCTTCCTCTTTTTACACGGGAAATCATTTCCTCCGCGGCGAGAAACGAAACGCGAACGGGGAACGTAGGAAGGAGGCGCGACGCTCTAGTTGCGGGTTTTATTTCTCTTTTATTTCTTCTTTTATTCGGTAAACGGTACGTAACACTTTAATTTTAACACCCCGCGCAACCAACATTCGTTTCGCGGACGGCGCCACGCCGAATAATAGCCGTTAATTATTGCCTTCCGCGTGCTACGAGAGTGAGTATTCTATCCCTGTCTAACATTGCGAAATTCTCTTTCCCTCCCGCCGGGATTTCGTAACACGCGAGGAGCGAAGGAAGCGACATGACGAAGACACACGTATGACTCGCACGTTTGAGCCTAACGATCATGAGTCTAACAATTAACTCGCGAAAGGACAGCTGCAACTCAACTGCGGGGATAAAAATAGTGTTGTTTACATGCACGCTATTAAAACAAGTCGTGTCGAAAAATAACTCGAACCGGGTCGAACGAAGTCAATTTCCAAAAATGGATATGGAGAATCGATCGCCCTAATTCGTCCAGCAAATGTTTCGCATTACTTTATTATCTTGTTTGTGTGTAAAACGTAATTTAGTTCAATGAGGCGATCATCAAAGCTGACCCAACCCATTATCGGTCTTCGTTATCGTCTAACTTACTTAACCTTCAACCAGAAATAGAATTACTCGTATTATGCAGCTAGATCAATCTTCTGGTAGTTGCAAGAACATCCACGTCATCTCATTTACAATTACATTTCAGTTTCGTTAACTTTCTACCGTTGATGAAATTTTGTAGTTCAAATGCCTCAACCTCCTTCAAATGTCAGATTGCCGATCCGCCTCGATCTTTATTCGATTTAACTCGATTGCTGATTACGGAACAAAATTTGCGTAACCCTTAGTCCTTTCTATCCGTTTTTGTTTTCTAATATTCAACTACTTTTCGACTTCGGTTAACCTTTCGACAAAATTTTATAATTCACTTTCCTACGTGTGATTAGAGATCTCGCCCGAATTTTATTCAATTTCACTCGTTTGTGCAACCAAATTTGCATAACTCTGAGACATGATTCTTCTCATCTGATTTCTTTCCACGATTTTCGTCGAGAGATAAAGTTTTCATACACGGCCAGAAAAATAATAAATGCACACACACACACACAGACATGCACGCGCAATAAAAGAATTTGTAGCACGATCAAGCGCAGCGATGTGTATGCACAAGACGTCACTGACCTATCGCGACCCGTATTTGAACCGGCGGTCATTCGTTCGCCGTTGACACACGGCGTTGTCGACGGTGTCACTTCACCCAGAGATCCGGCGATTTAAAATTCGGATCCCGACAAAAGAACGAGCGAGACCGGATTGCGATCGCGCACCGGTGAACGACGCGCCGTTATTTTTATGCCGAGACTCCTCTCATTATCTGTCCTTTTATGTACTTTACGCATTTCGCGTTGCCATTCCCATCCTCGTGAAACCGGCCACGTTTAACCGGATAAAAATCTGGCCGTGCCCCTGTAACTTCCCGCCGGACAACAGATCGCAGATATTTGCCTCTCATCGCTCCACCTGCTAAAGCGTCCCAGGACTCCCTGCAAGTTTATGCGCTAGGGTCACATCTTGCGCGGTATCTCTGCAGGAGTCCGTTTTTTAGCGATATTCCCACTTGGCCTCAGGGTCTCGATCGCGCTCTCGCTCTCGTTCAAGTGTGAATTTAATCGCGTCTCCTGCTCCCCGCCGACACCGGACGATCGGCGAACGATAACGCGCTTCGCGATCGAGAGATCCTCGCGAGCATTTACGTAAGAACAGCAAGTGCCGGTAAATGCGGCGTGGGAGTCGACCAGTTCACATGCAACGTTTCCTCGACTTTCTAAGTTCCGATAGCGCGATAGAGCTCCACTCGTTGACCATCGCCGTTGCGTCCGTGTGTGAGCGACTCCGCAGGAGTCGGCCGGTCGCATAAAGAAATGCAAACAAGCCTCTCCTCGGTTTCGGCTATTTCGAAGTCGGCGAGTCTCCCCCTTTTTTTCCACAATTTTTACGTCGCCGGAGTATTTATCGCACGAGAAGCGGGGATTTCGTAACCGTCGGTCTAAAAGAGAGAGCGAATCACGGCGGTGAGGAAGAAAGAGCACTTTCGATCGCGGCGCTCTATCGCGTCCGCGCGCGATTACGAATACTAATTAACGGTGAAATTGGCACACACGCGTCACCGATTGCGCTCACCTGTGACACCGACGGCGAGGAAGTTCTTTCTTTCGATCGCAGACGCAAATGGAACAACAAGCCGGCTTAAGTGGAGATTTCCTCGGTGAAATTTAACGAGTCTTTACATTCCTAATGGCAGTCTATAACGAGCTGACTAAAATTCGCGTAATATATTCTCGCCTGTCTAATATGCATAATGGAACGCGCAAAGTCGTCACGAGAGAAGGACGGAGATACATGTATATGGATAATAGAAGATACGTTTTTATCCCGTCCTGCTACGTACGTAAATAGTCCCGCTCTTTTTTATTTCACCCTCCAGCGTGTTCGTTCGAAGTGGATTTTGACGATAGATATTAACGCGCACGGAAATAGAAACGCCAACATCGTCGACTATTTAAGGCTCCATATATTGCGTTCGCGTTATTCGTGCTAATTGAATCCGAGAGCCGTATAAATAACGCGGGGCGCGGCGGAGGCTGCGACGATAAATTCTCGTCGTCGTCCTACTTCGTCGCGTTTCGTCTTCATTCGCTCGTGAAATCTACGCACTACGGTAATATTGTCGCGATTTC